TGGCGACACGGCTGGGTGCAGAACTGAAAGCGAGAATTCTCCCGCAGCGTGGAGACGCGGCACTCGCTCCGCATAAATCATCCTGCTTCTGCTTGGAACAGGGAGGCGAAAATAGATGGAGTTCTCTTTCTCTTTCACTGACACCTTCTCTCTCCTCCTTCCCCTCCCCATCCTCCTCTTGACCTCACTTTTCTGTCCTATCTGTCTATCAACGTAACTTTACTTATATATTTACTTATTTATTTATTTATTATATTTTCCTACTTACTTGTTCTTCTTTGTTTCATGCTTTCGTTATTTATCTGTTTTTCTTTGTATCTTATAAGCTTACAAAGTTAGAGAAGCACTCTTGGTACAAGCATAGTATAATTTGAATGCACGCTAGCCCTTTTCTTTCTCTCTCGCTCTCTCTCTCTTACTTTTTCTCTTGTTTCCATTTCCACCCTGAATAAAGACCTCCCACATATTTCCGTGATTTTCACGACCAGGTATCTGGCTCACACCACAGGACATCCTACGGAAGGTCGCGCAGGACTGCAAGTTGAAAGTCTAAGATCCATTTTCGTAAAAATATAGCTTTCAAAGTGAGTATATGGCTGTTACAGGGCTTTTTCGACAGTTTCTTTTTAGTTGGTTGTTCGAACTAACGCACTAATTTTCAAAGATAATTTGCCATCAAATACATTGTAAACTTTTGTAGATCAGATGTATAACATATAATAGTATCCGAAATTTCATAAAAGTTTCATCCTATTATTTTCAAACTGTCTATTTTATAACGTTCCAATTAAAAATTGCATTTTAATTGTATATTAAGAACAGTAATTTATATCGTTTTTACATTACTTAAACATTACGCAAGCGATGACTCTTATTATTTTATTTTCTTTGTGCTCAGTTTGTATTTTTAAGATCAAAATGTAGTCAAATTTGAGTTACGATGTATGACGCTTCAATGTTTATATATCTTATCTTCTTCAATTTTTTATTTATTTATTCCAATCTTTTCGACTTCGACCACCATATTTATTTATTATAACTTAACGTATTAATATTCTATTGTATTCTATTAACTTATTTAATTAAACGCACTTATATTACTTTTACAATTTCCTATTCGGCACTTTCCATTCTGCCTTCTGATAATTACATTTTCACGATCATATCAATGTTTATATATACATTGAATTAATCATGCTTACTCTTACTTCGTTTTAATTAAATTAATTCAACATTCACGCTTTATTTTAATTAAGAAGATTAAAGAGAAAGCATGTCACATGCATTTTTTTATGAATACATACAAATAAAAATAATACAAATAATATAATGGAAAATTCTGTTCACATAATTAGATATTACAAGTAGTAAATAATATAGGAGGAGATTATACCCTTGATTTATCTGTTGTTCCCACTCGTTAAATGTTTTCTAGCACAAAGGTACAGAAATATTTTCGTTGCATTCCGGTTTCTAAAAATTTTCTTCAGGTTGCGTGACAAAGGGAAACGACGTAACTTTCGAAATCTATTACGATCTTGGTCTATTACTCGTTGAACGTATTCGAAGAAGGACAAATATGAAAAACGAGACGGTGACAAGAGATCGAGGAAAATCAATTGGTACCTGCTGGTTTTCTTGAATGTGGCCCGATTTCGGAGTACTGCATTGCGCTTGTTTCACAGCATTATTCTCTTTGTACTTGGAACTCCAAGCTGATCCGGCATTCCCTCTCTAACCGTCCGTTCGTTGGAGTCTCTATCTAGCATCACGCTGAGCGAAGCGTGGTGCACCATAAATCTTCGCCCTGTTTTTACGTGTTTGACCCCCGAGCGACTATACCATTATTAGAAGCAGCTTTCAACCTTATCCCACTAAGAATTTCACGAAACCGCACCATAACTAAGCCTCTATATCCTGCCTCGCTTCCTTCGTTTTCTGACGTTTATTGACCGGCTACGAGTTTTCCCCCTGTCCTTTTCCAAAACGTGTTGGATTTATCGCTTTGTGTCAGCAGCTCTGATGTCCCCCAGTATACGCACCAGCTACCATCTTACCCTATCACGTTTCTTCCCTTGGTCGGGCTTCGAAATTCTAATCGTGTCACACAGAAATTACCAGTCAAATTAGTAACACCTTTTTTTTTAAATCTTTGAAATTCTTAAATCACGCCTTTATCATAAGAGAAGCAAAACATCTTCCTATTTTTCAGTTTAGACGGATTAAATTATTTTAGAAATTAATCGATACTTAAATATTATATAAATTAACGAATGTATAAAGGAATAAAGATTTTTATTTTTCTTACAAGAACGAGAGAGAACTTAAAGAACAATTAGAGAAAATTTTCGTCCGAACTTGCTCGAGTATGTCTAAATTAAAATTGATAAAAAATTATATATCTATCTAAATGAACTAGTTTGCAAATATACTGCGCTTTCGTATTAATATAAAAAAAAATATCGTGAAATATTTAATTTATTTCTTGTTTAAATTTCATTACAGCATGATCAGAATGTAATTAAATTTGTCAACGTTATCAGTTTGCCGTGTCATGAATTTGTAAGAATTACCATTCCGCAGTCGTCCGAGTATTTCGGTCATAATTCAACCGGGAAACGAATTATTTCGAAAGAACGTGTCGGCAACAGTGTTTCTCAAATTTCCTTCCATACAACAGTCAGCTATCTTTAGATTTATACCATCTGCGTTGACATGAAATGTAAGAAATACGATATTACATTTAAATAAATAACGTAAAACACATACACAGACCATACTTAACTAAGAGAAATGATATACTTTCATATGCGTTATCTCGTTAATTTTTCATCTAATACACTCAGCTGTTTCGTATAAATATTTAAGCATAGTACAAACAAAATAATTTAACGTAAACCAACGATGTGTGAGATTTGGTTAGAGAACAGTTACTCAATTGCGTATTTTTTTATCGTAAGAGTTTTCGATAATGGTAACCCTTTGAATAGCGTTTTGGACCAGTTGTTATTGTTAACGTTTAATTTGCGAGGAGAGAGTAAACCGATTAGGCGCAAATTATGACGCGGTTTGGGAAACGCTGGCTCACGGGAAAAGGATCGGGCAATAGAGGCAAACGACGTCGGCGAGTGGAGGGTGACTATCGGTGCTCCTCCACCCACGAGCAACTGGTATTCGGTGTAAAATCCGAAGCCAACAAATCATAACGGGGGTCAAAAACGAGCGACGTGAAAAATTGCTGGTTCTCCCATAGAAAACTAATAACGGGCCGCCACATCAAACGCGATTCCGGGAAATCATTACTCGAGCTACACAGGCAGCCTCTATACGAGCGAGTAACGTTTAAACGGCTGAAACGAGCGGCGGCGAAGCGGTATGGCCCAGGGGGTGCGGTGACGTAGGATGGTGTACGAGCTAGAACTAGTGATGGGATCAAGCTCAATATATACTCATAAATCCAAATCAAATTTAATACGACAGGATCACTTCATATCGTGTTCGAATCCTACTCGTAAGGTAGGTAAAATGGTTCACTTGTTTTAATTGCGAAGTGTACGATTTTCGCAAACTTGTTTCGAATCTTGGGACGACTATCGACAGATATCGAAAATTTACTTGCAATTACTTCTATATTTGAACGAATCGATCCCCTTACAAGTAGCAGTTAAATGGCGAGTGTCAGAATGATATTTCCGTATCATTGAATTCTTAGGACTTTAGAAATCTCCTATAAAATTATAGACGATAAATAGAACAGTAAATAAATTTTATCTTAACCTTTGCATATAAAACGATTCAAAAATGATAGTTGAGAAAATTGATTTCAACAAATTGAGAGTTTCCGATAAGACGCTTGTAAAGGTTCGAACCTATTCGACCAGGTTCGATTCCTCTTCGGAGTGTTTTCTTATTCCTCGAAGTACTCATAGGGGATTTAAATCTGTCGCGTTTAGATTTCAGTCTATTTGAAAGTATCGCTTCTTTTTCTTGAAATTAATTCTTCAAAAGGGTTTGAATTTAGTCGATCAATGTTCGGAACCTACTTGCGACGTACCTAAGCACGTCACTATGTAACTAGAACATCGAGGAGCCGTGCCACACCACGTCTCCGAGAGTCTGAGGGCCGATTTAGCCTTGCCCCTCTGCTTTACCCTCGCCACGAGTAACGTCCCGAGTCCCGAGTAATATTACGATGACAGTAATTGCCGCTTTGATCAATGCAGACCTAGCCGCGAGTAGGCAGCCCGTCACGCCACTGGGTTTCGAATCCGACGCGATCCTTTCCGGCCTATTCGATCATTTCTCCAGGCGGATGTACGATGAGCATCGCTTCGTTCTCTTATACAATTTTCTTTCACCTTATCGATTAGTCTCACTCACTTTCCTGTCTTTCACACTTGTTTCCAACCTTTTTCACATTTTGGAATCTCCTTCTGTTCTCGCATAATCAATTTGGTTTCGATGTCAACTGTGATATTCGCAAGGTCCTGTCTCGTAATATGCAAATGGTACGGACGATTTCTGATGCAATTATCTTTCTTCGCACTGAAATCTTTCAACTGCTTTGCTCAGATTAATAGATTTCGACGTATCTTTTTAATCGCAATTTAAGGTCTTTCTTTTTTAGGTTGCTTATGTCCGAATCGAATGAAAATCGAAGAAAAAATATTCTCAGAATCTATAAATTTATAGCGAGAAGTTAAATTTTGTATCGCGCGATAGCTTGTGTATTTACAATGTTCTATTCTCCCTAACAAAAGCAGAGAAGATTGTCTAAATTAATATTATCTTAATGAAACTCGATTAAAATGTGACACGATTCTATACTAATATTATTAAAATTATAAAGTAATTTAAAATTAGATAGCAAATAGGGTACATGTATACATATCGATATTTCCACTTCAAGCATATGAACGAAGTATTTTAGATTGCTTCATTTTTAATTATATAATTGGATACATTGATTTTAGAATAAAGAATGTAAAACTATCCTTATCTCTGATTAACTCATAATATGCTGAAAGGTAAAAGAGCAATTACCAAACAAGTAAACAAACTAGATGGCTTAAGAATAGTATTGATATATGTATAAATTTTTTTTATTTCTTTAATGAGGTCAGTGTGTTTTCTTTTTAGTCTTCTTTCTATGAGAGTTCTGCTCGCTTCAGCAGCCAGCTGTTTTGGATATGTTGCCGTTCTTTCCTTGTATTTTTCTGTGTATATGTATAAATAGAAATAGAAATATATTTGTGTCGTATGTATTTCGTTTTACAAAGACACCCTGATACGTGCGTTTCAAATATAGGGATGATAGGCAGAATATAATATAGGGATGCTTCGGTAACGTTGACAGGGCTCGATTAAAAATTATGATCGTGGAAAATCGGCGATGCTATTAGGAATCGTTGAGTAACGGTGATGCGAGCGTCGGGAAATCGAAGCCACGAACCGAGCCGCGTTATTCTTTTCTCTCTTCCTTCTTTCCTTCTAGTCCTTATCATTTTCTCTTTCATTCTCCCACACTGTTGCTTGCTTCTCAGTCTCTCTTTCTCTCTCTCTCTCTCTCTCTTCCTCTCTTTTTCCCTCTCGCCCTTCATCTCGAACTTTTATTTGCGGCGGAATAAATAAAAATTTACGAGCAATTTACGGAGGGTCCTCAGCCAGGTCAGGGGGATCCATCAATTTACTCCGAAGTGCTCGTTTGGCGCGCAGGCTACAAAATCGTCGACGAAGTTCTCTTTATGAAGCTAGAATAGATTAATGCTCTCGTTTGTTCGGTAATGGCCCCGATAAATTATCTTAATAGCTCGAGGCGGCTATAAATATATTCCTCAGTTCCTGCGCTCTTACGCTTGTTTTCCTGGTATATCACTGTCTCTCTACACGCCGTCGAACTGCCATGTTTTCCATGTCACTAATTCTAAGAACGAGCGGGATACCAAGGCAGAGGAACAGTTCGAACAAAGGCGTTTGGTGTAAACGATGTCGTTTTGGCATCGATGTGAAATATTTCTGGTTAACGCGCGGCTATTATCCTATCCCTAGATCATTTTTTCATCCGACTACCGTTCCACATCGTCGCCATTCCAAACCTCATTTTGCACACAAACTATGCTATTTTGTATGTAATTTTTCAAAATTCGAATTTTACGCTTTACGCACAAATATAATCCGTGTTTAGTAGTGTATCTGATAAATAGGATAATCGGATTAATCTGTTTATACAGATTTTACGATATATTTGAGGGATATATGGTAGAATGAAGTGCACAGTTTAATATAGAATCATTTATTTGAAAAATACACATTGTTGCGACGTTATGAAGTTTCTTTGTATCGTACTAAAAATGCCTCCAAGATCGACTTACATTGATTGTTCTTTTGAGTGGTCGTTTTGCTACCGACCGCGAATATTTAAACGACGAGTGCGGACGTATGTTCTTGAGTTGTATTTTGTGAAAACATTGTAACTGTGTTATAAAGCTCACTTCTGCGTATACACTAAAGTTTATATTGTTACAAATAAATCGCGTCTTGCGATGAGTCGCTCTAACGTAACAATATAATAAAGAAATAAAATATCATAAATGGAAAAGGAAGTTTAAATAATTAATACATTGATGCAATAAGTATCTCAACATTTACTTTTGATCATGTATGCATATAAATGTACATACAGATTATACAATAGTAGTGTATACGAAATATTGTTTTTTTTTTAATCTAGTTGACATAGTTCCTTTACAATATCATATATTTAACCAAAATAATTTCCAGGTGATTCTATACATTTTCTTAACGTCTAATTATGTCGTTTTCTTATTCCAGATTTGTAAGAATTGTCGCTTATCGAGTTCAAAAACTCTTAAAATGAATCTGTTACTCTTTTTTCATTTACGGAAACATTTGTTTCATTATTTTCTGCCAGTATATTGGGTCATTTATACTTTTAACTGGATACTTCATACTTTATTTTTATATTTATACTCTTTTATACTACTATTTTTATATTTATAATTTTCTATGGATGTACCTATGTACCTATATAATTGCAAATTCCTCGAAGAGTCAAGAATGTTGTCTTCAAACACAGACAATTTTTGTGAAATACACAGATTACACATTGACCTACTTCAGAACTATGACAAATTCCTCACGATCTACTTATCGTAAATCATCGGCGTTATAACACGTCATTCGTTTATGATCTCTATTTTTTTTAAATATCGGAACACCGAATTCTGTGAAGTATTTAAAACTTTAGAAATCTTTCCTTTTGTACTCGTCTACTTATTCTCATGCACTAGCGAGAGTCAAGTGAACATATTGTTCGACTCAATAAGTACATATCGAACGTTCTGTTAAACATTAATTATAGCATATTGCAAATAAGTATGTGATGTAAACTTTAAGGAAGAAAGAATTAACAAGGAAAGAGGTCTAAACTACCGTTTGCACATGCTGTGAATATTAGTAGTAATATTGTTCCTATCCTCCATCGACAGGTTAAACGAATGGAGACCATAGCTGCGATGCACTTAATACACACGTTTCGGTGAGAGACAGCGTGCGTATAGGTATTTGGCAGAAATTAGGTTGGTAATATATCAACAGTCGGTCTCGGGAGCACTTAACGCCGTAAAGTTGTTTGATGGCACCGCTATCACCCCTAACAGTTCCTAACAGTCCAACGCACAGCTCACGTTGCGCCCCGGAGTCTGACACTGCAACCGTGAGTTATTCACTTAATGCGGCCATTACGCGCTCCTCGATGGCGCTTCATCCTGATTTACTTGACAAGCATTTATTGCTTCTATCTTGGCTAGCAATATTAAACCCTCTGCTCGCATTTCCTACGTACGTACGTATGTTACTCGCTTCTCTATCTACATAGCAAACCTTTAGGTCTCGATGATTCGGTCCGGTACACGAAGAAAGGATCATCGTTACAATTCGATCGCGCGCTCACCGTCCATACCACGCGTTATTTTTTCAATTTTTACCAACACCTAATTCTGCTCTATGATCCTTCCACTTCTTCGTCATCGATGCCAGTATCGTAATTTAATCTCTAAATTTAAAAAAATCAAAAAGGATTAAAAGAACGAATGTTAAACGAAGCATTAAGAGTGCTGCCAATGTCATGGAAGTATAGTTCATTAATAATTATTCGTGCAAGTTGAAGCGATTTACGAGAGCAAATAGGAGCAGACGTTTATATCTGGAAAGTAGAGAGGGAAATTTGCGAAGGGGCGAGCCTACGGAAGATTTGTCCGGCCGACAAAGTTTCGATGAAAGCGGTGCTAGCGATGCTTGAAACTCTGAGCGAGTAGATTTGAGCTGGTGGTTGGCAGTTGAACTATCCTTTGCAACGCGTAGCATCTCTCGTCGTCGTAGCGCCTCGGTTGAAACCTCGTAAACCCGGGAACGACCAATTAAACGAAACGAGCAGCGCACTGATGCACTCTCTGGCTGGTTGCCTGCCTGCCGGCATTACCTACAGGTTATACGACTCGCGGAATTACCCTCAAATTACACAGTTGGTACCGATGTGTGCACTTCCCCCCTTGCGCAGCTCTGTATACTTATGGCTGGATAACAACCGGTCTGCTAGCAACGCCACTACGACCGAGAAACGCTCTTTTCTCTCGCTATCAAACTCCCCAAGCTCGGACGAAACACCCGCCAACAACGACTCGAATCTCTGGCAAAGCTATACTTGCTGCTCGCTTACTCGATCATCGACTGGCCACGAAGAAAGTGACGGTTATGGTAGGTATTCACGCGCATTCGATTTGACTTAACCCGGCCGGATCGTTCTGAGAACCTATAAACTTTGTACTTGCTCGTTCGAGCTCTTTTAACCGGCACTGTTGTTGTTCTTTCTAGCACCCGTGAAACTACAGTTCGCTTCTCTACTTTCTTCACTTCCGTGTATGTACATTCGCACGAATACGACGGAACAGCCGACAATATAAACTGCCTGTCTCGGACACGCTTTCGGTAACGTTAGCTGTTCCACGTATTTGCAAGAAGTTTGCTCTAAAATTACAAGTTACAACGATTTCCCGAGATAATAACGTTTGCCTCGGCGAGCAAGCTAAATTATTTTTCTCCTCGTCGTGCTCTTTAATCCTTTTTTCTTCTTTTCTTTCTCTATCTATTCGAATCGAGCCGAAGGAAAAAAACGTGCTAATGACGACTGTATTCCATAGAAGGCTATACTTAGTTAACATTCGTTTGCGTCACGGATGATCGAATAGTCGTGAGGAAACGCGAAAGTTGCGAAAAACACTCGCATGAACATTGAATTCTGCTCGGTAATTTAACTCGCGAACGATATTCAAGGAACCTATAAACTAAACCTATTCAACTTTATTATCTATGATCTCTACTTTGACAGGCATATCTTCCACTTGCTGAAGTTTACGCCGTTAAACATGAATATTTAGTACTCGATAATCAACGGGAACACCAAAATTATTTAGTAACCAGCTCATATTTTAGATTTCAGATGATTAAATAGCTGTCGTTAACCGTTCCATATTCCACTACGTATTATCTTTAGTACTGATAAATAGTATCGAATGTAAATGCAAAGAAATACAAAAACATTGTAAAATTGTTACTTATCTGAGATATCCTATAAATGATATCATCGTTTCATTTACGTTTCGACATTTAATGTTGGTTATATGTATATTATATGTATAGTTATTAATTCTTTTCGTTTCAATTCGAGCCGGTAAAAGAACATTTCTAATATAACTCTGTTAGTCGAATATGTTCATCGTAGCGTGCTCCGCCTTCTTTCACAAGAAATTATTAGGGTCCGTGGCTGCTGTCAAATTATACGGAGATTCTCCTCCCACTACGTACAAAGTTGACGCCTTTCTTCTTAACGCTCTCCAACGGGCTTCAATAATATTCTTATTAAATCGTTCTTTGAACACACTTCTTGAACTTTTTTGGAAATAATATTTCTCGATATTTTGCTATACTTCCATTTATTTATTTTACAGTTTACAATATTTTTTCATTTATTTTGACGATAAAACGTTTACGTATCTTACTATTAACCGTACTATACCAATAAGATTAAAATATTACAAATGACATGGTACAATCTTTGCATAATTCGTTTGTTTATTTTTCAGATTATAATCCGGATGGAAATAAAAAATACGTAGGGTACAGCAAATATATATTCGTTTTATTAACGCTTTCACTTCTCTAAATCCTTTAGATTATATAAATATTTCATTTCATCCATATTTCCAATGAGACGATGAGAACGATTGACAATCAGACATTTTCAAACTGTTATAATGTTCCTATGTATATCTACCGACGCGTCGCGTCGCTACGTAAAAAAGCTTTTAGCATTCACTTCTCTGTCTATTTCTTTTTCTCTATCCATAAATTAACCATCAAATATGGAGATATTAAATTCGTTTTCTATTCGTATTTGTACTTCTACCCTATTCGTTATGTTTAAATGTAGTTTTATTCTATTCTAATTACATCATCACATTACACGAGTCGTTTCAATAATCTCTTTTTATTGTTTTATTACAAATAAAATTTGATAAAAGAATTAACAAAAAAGTTACTAATTTATTGTACATTTATTCCACAATCCCTCTTTACTTCTTCTTCCAATGAATCTAATAACTCGTTTTTATCATATGTTTTATGTATGTCTTTTTATTTTACAATTTCTGTATTTCGAGTAAGAAATAACTCGATTTCCCTGTAAATGTAAATGTAGAGAAAATAAAAAATGTAGGAAGTCCCTTCATCATCTTTTTATTCTTCATATTTTCATTACGTTTCTACCTCAGTAAATAGTTTTCCGAATTATTGTATTTCGAGCGCATTGGCCTGTCTATCTATACAGGCTCACTAATGCATTTTAACACCTGTGAAGAGTTATTCCGAGTATGTAGTACCATGTATGTGCTATACAAACTATTTTGTATGACGTACCACCTGATAAATTAGTAAAGTTTGAAACAAATCTGAAAATGTGTATAAATATATTGCACATAATAAATCACAAAATTATCTAAACAGTCATTACATTTAATGAAATAATTCGATATAGTATTAATTATACGTTTAAGATAATTTCTCATACGGTATATTCGTTATTGAATAAGAGTAGCTTTGCAATATATCCTTTGTTACATGTCCGAAAAGTGCTCTCTTTCGCAAACATGTTTTTTACAACAGTGCACCTTCATACAAACGTGAAGCCAAGTCCGTGAAATGTCGAGGGGTTTATCTCAAGAGAACAAAATGGATCGTACGTAATTCGACAAATTAATATAAAACAAAAAACGTCGTGCGTCTATTATTTCCTCAAAAAGCGAAAGAAACTTTTCGGACAACCTAATACATTTCTAGATTGGTTTCAAATTTTACCGCTATAATTATGACATCGTATCTCGTTACAATGGCAATGGAATTGCAAAAAGCGTTGTACAGCGCATGTAATATATTCACAAAAATTTTCTATGGTATATGTATTTTAACACATGTAACTCGAACATCTCGATGATGCATACTTTGGTGCGTGAGAATCTAACGCAAAACAGAAAATACAAACTAAACGAGAAAACAGTCCAGTTCGTATATATTATATAGCGCATAAGCAAGCAGAAAAAGTGAATGGCAAGGATTCAGTGAAAGAGGTAGAAAGATACGGAAAGTCCAGTTAGTTCTCTCGCACAACCACGAGAGAAGTCCTCCGATAGCTTCTTTGTCCATATGAATTCCCGATTCGGCGAAGCGCCGATTCCCTCGGAAACGTTACAGCGGGAACATCCACGTCGTTCTCGTCGAATACATTAGTGATTCCTAGCAGGCGACGCGCCGTAATGAATGTTTCCGGTGACAGCCGACTGCGGAGAATGCCTTCCGCGACAAACAATGCGGTTCTCTGTTCATCGAAACCGCTTCCACCCTGTGTGCCTTTCCCCTTCTTTCTGTATGCGTCGGTAACATTTGCCGCCAAAAGGATTCGTCGCCACCCTATACGCTTGAAATTCATGTGCCGATTCTAGTCTAAAGGCTCGGTGTTTTCAACCTTTCTCCAACGTTAATTGGCCAACATTCTATGGTTCTAATAGTTACTTATCAAATTAGATACTTATAAAATGGCACTAAAAATGGAAGTAATTACATAAAAATTGTTATATAGTTTACGATGAAACGCGATTAAAATCAAATAACGTCGTTCTTATTTTAACGACATTGGGATATTAATGATTTACACCAGAGAGATAAAATTTAAGACGCGCTGGTGTTTTCATTATCGTTTTGTTTATTACCTCCGCTGTATTATCATATTACAGTAAATTATCTACAGACGAACCTTTAAACGAAGACTATGAATTTATTTAAATTTATTCCTCCAAATAAGAAACTTCTACATTAAGTGCAATCGTATCTTACTTTCAATGACTCGTAAACCATTTATTGCATGAAATATTGTTTTATAAGCAAAACTCATAAGTATCAAGAACGACATATACGGCAGAAATGTACACAGCTACCGATATATTTATGAGTTTAATATTATAATGGTAGGCTTAAGCAAATTTTATTTGAGATTGAAATCGAAAATAATAATTTGAAATAACAAATCTCTCCGATTGATTTATCATTTTTACTTTAAAGATTCTACTATTCTTCCCAATGCCATGTTGCGCGCTGTTCCGTAACTGGGTACGTTAATTAATGTTTCGAATTTCGAAAAATCTTTTCGGTAAAACAGAATTTCTCTTTAAAGGGGACTCTTCCTAAAAATTTGTCATATATTGAGTATGCAATGGAAAATAAGAAGAAGAAAATGACTGCTGATAAAATTATCATTTAACTCAAATTGAAAATAACAATACTGTCGCATTGCGGGGAGACCGCAGTCAGCCTTCTCTATCAGGATTTTGAGTCAGTCTGGGACACCGTTTGCGTTGTAACGGAAACCACATCGGAATATCAGAAGGACTGAAATCGGTTATACTACGTTTCGAAGCCGAAAGACCTTCGTGGATATCGTATTCCGAGGATTTGGAGCCATTACATTGTAGGGGGTCTTAACATATCGCCGTCGAAAATTGGCCGATCTGTTAGCAATGCGGTATGCATGCATACGAGAAACGGGGCGCGAAACTGCACTTGTGGTCTTCGTTCTGCAATGCGTGTATGTTCACATTTCGAACTCTACCAGCGATTCGATGTTGGAATGTTCGACCACTTGTGGGGGCCACTCAATACTCACCAAGTCCATTTCCATTGTTACCGGCTATATCGGTAGCCAGTCCGCGAGAATTCCAAACGCTCGTACACCGAGATTCGATTCGACCGTATTTTGCAACATTCCCTCCAGTTTCTCTTGTTTGCATTGCTCACGTTATTTGTACGCCGCTTCGTAACCACAGCCATATTAGACATCTTGTAATCGTTCATCGGATCTTCTAGCGCTTCTACTTTAGACTACACGTAATATATCTTTCATGACACAACTTTTCTTTAGTTGGGTAGAAGTTGTATCAAGTCCATTTATTTCTTGCGTTATGTAAACCAATTATTACATTAGAATACTACACATGTAAGTAAAATTGTACAGCATACTATTCAAAGTTGAATAAAATGTTTGTAATAAGAATATAATTTTTATTAAAGATAAAACGTTATACTTTAATGACACATGCGTCAGACTGAAATGAAACCTGATAGGAGTCACGAGGAAAGTGGGTAAACCAGAAGTTCTTATTTTTATACCTGCTATATACTTTGCAACTTGTCAGTAGACATTAGACAAATTGTTTTAACGTGGCAAAATAGCACGACGACGATGCCTCCATTTTTGTTTAAATATGTTTATTTGCTTATTAAGTTTTCAGGGTTAAGTTTTCACTTTTAAGCTTACATGGGATATATTGATCTTATATATTATATATCTATTCTCTTTTTGTGATCGCTGCTTGCCTTAATTATTTCTTCCTTTACTCTGATGATGTATAGATCCTTCCTTATTTCTTTGTTTCTACCGTGGAGCGTAAAATAATAGACTGTTAGGCCTCAAATTTGGCTATATGGTTCTTCGCCATTCCCCATAATGGTATACCATCTGTTCAGATTGGCGTTATTATACTCTCATAGACGTGTAAATCAGAAATATGAAATCCTTGTTTTGACAATTTATGTGTTTGAAAGATACAGATCATCAGGCAAGTATATACATATGCAACACTTTCGATGCTATTAGGGTTGAGTTCGACAATTAGCGTATTCTTAAATATTACTTGTTAATTACCTAATTATATGCTGTAGTATGCATGGATTAAACTCAGTTAACTCTGAATAGCTACAATCGGTTTTTTAAAGAAATAAGTACTAGTGAGATATGCGAATAGCACATATGAGGTACAATACTTACGTATGGCATAATCGTTGTACATAAATATTTATGTTTCGGTCAATAGAAGAAATACTTTTGAAAATGAAAACAGTTCAATTGGATTAAATCTGGGTTATGTTTAGGCGCCAGATGAAACGTCCAATAGTGTCGGATATTTAGATACTTGTTATATGTATGTGGCGGATGAAAAGAGAGGTTTGCGTTTCGTCCCAGGACTACCGGTGGACTCATCAGTAAGGCTATGCCCGGTAGTCCCTGCCTTAGACATAGAGGGAGTCTCGCTAGGTGCGGTATTTGTATTATTCGCTCGTATATTCGACCGCTAGCGAGATAGACGGACTCGTTGTCGTCGTAGCCCTCTAGTGTTGGCGGTTGGTACCAGCGGATCGCCCGGGAGGTGTTGCGCCGCGTTGATGCCTCGACCTGTCGGCGTCCTGTTGATACCGATCCGCCACATGTATATCAGGATCAGGATTTGTTATACGTATATCTTCCGAACGCATGAATTGCTGAGACTAAAATTTCATATCACAATACTTACCAAGTTTAATCTCGATAATTTATTAGTACCATTTAGAAAAATATCTGAACATAATTTTAGCACACTAATGTTACTGCGAATTCACAAAGTTGTTAATGTACTTCACTATTCTACCAATAAAGTTCAGCTGCACGTCGCTTATCTTAGTTATATTATCATTCTTCTATTAGTTATCTTATCATTTCGGAAGAGAATTTTCGATCCGCGCAAGTATTTTAATAACAGTTTATCCAATGGCCACGATCGAACGTAAATATACAACGCAATTTATAAAGACGTTGGGGCAGAAGAAAAATTGCACGGATGCACGAGATTTTTAAACCAGAGAGGATGTACGACGGCGGAAACGGTTTTGCACATCTATCGGTTCCCGCGTGCTATATAGTACTTACTTATATACGATGCACCAGTAACATTTCACAGTATAATAAAGAGCATAAGGTTTTTGAAATACGTACTTGCCGGCAAAGCGGCGCATCGACGATGACATCATTATGACGGCCGAGGAAACATTTACTCGCGAAAAGGTAGAAGGCGAACACGTGTACATTCGAGTCGAATCGGCGCGGAACATCTGATCGCGATAAAGGAATGCCGTGAAAATCGTCGTACACTGGCGTTATTTTGTTTGCTTCGGGTTATGTTATACTGCGTAATCTTACGGTAAGCAGGCGTGTTAACAAGCGCATGTATGCGTGTATGAGTCCAGTGATAAACTTCCAACGTGCATTTCGTTGGGCAATAACCGTCGCTTAATTCATGTATATCCCCGTGGGCAGCACCACACGCATTATACGAGAAGCTCCATGCCGGACTCTGATAGTTCTACCGTCAGGCTCGGATTTATAAGTAGCGTTACAAGGCCAACGATCACACTATCGGAGTCTTCGTTCTTTCTCGCTAAACTTGCTCAAATGCATTTCCCTTCGAAGCGTAGTTTCGTAGTCGATCCTTTCTACAAAGCATATTCTAATTATTATCTAAATTGCAACGTCCGTCGTGTATCACGAATAATCTCCAAACACGTGTCGACTACACGGATAGAGAACGTTCATGTTACGCTGTTATAGTAATTCATATTTGCTTCTCGTGTATCGATGTTTAATTGGATAAATCGCTATTATCAGATTTCTTAAATAGATAACATTGAAGTATGATAATAAGTGACAGGATCATATATCTTGGAAAGTACTTCATCAATATTAAGATACGAATACAAGATTGATTGCCGAAAATAGCGAGAAAATCAGACATATCTTTTCGCTTCAACCACTTTACTTTTATACCTCAAAAATGCATATACATTGCGATGTTTCATTTGCATAATTATTTTCGCGCATAACGAGCATGAGAGACACGATTTAAAGTTTTGAAGAGCGCTAATTATACGTAGCTGTATTCCAATGAAACGAAAAGAAACGAATAATGAAATGAGAATAATCCAAACCGAATGATGCACGTACCTATTTGAGTAAGTTTACAAATTATTCGACCGTTGGTATAAATTACTTTGTCGATCACGGAATGTATTTTCTCGTGAAGAATTGCATCGCTTGAAATCTCAAATCGTCTGTCACGAGAATAAAACGCATGTAACAAGTTTTATTCGTTTCGCAGTACTATTACGTCACATTAGCTAACAGAGTGTAGTTAACGAGCAGTACCGCAGCACATTAGGTACCGTAAATCGTGCTGGTCATTCCTCTTTAATTATCGCGTTAGCAGTGAAATCTGGCTGCTGGTCGAATCACAGGCTGATGTCCGCGGCTAGCTTGGCTCGAAAGGCCAGAAAGAGGAACGATCTTCGGGTTCTCCATTACACGATCCGCGCCTGGGGCCTCGGTTCCACCACGTATGGCTCGAGATTCATGCCAGCCCCATGCTTGGATCATGTAGCGAGGGCCTTTAGAGAGCTGTAGAGAGTCGTTGATCAGAGGCGAGGTTATCTCTTGTCTCTGCAAGAGGCGGTCGAATGAAAGGCACCGACAACGTCCAGCAGCGGACCATACATCAACTCGCGGCTTGAGTAAATAAGCGGTGCTCTGCTCGATCTTCTCTCTCCCTATATACTTACTATCTTCCCGACTCGCTTCTAAGTGTTATACCACCGATCCAGCAAGTTTTATCTCTCTACTATTTCAAAAATAACTACGGCAAAGACATTTTTTCAAGTTTACAGATAAATGTGGCATACGTATATACCTCTTGATCCGTCGATGATCTATTTCTGTTTATTCTTTTATCTATACCACATCAACAATGTTATATATTGTTTATAGTCTACTCGCTGCTCGTACTCGTATTATCATTTATCGTTCACGCTAGTTTTCAAAGTTATGACACGGCCGAGATAAAATTGCAATGTTGTTGCAACTTTTACGATGTTATAATTCAATATCACGTCAATGGCTCGATCTCAGTTTAAATCGTTGACACTTGTGTAACTTAAAAATTATATCTTTTTTGCATGATCCGAGCATATGCTTAGATACGCAATTTATTATATATCAGATTGATCGATAAACTATGTCATATTATTTTAACACTATTTTCAAAACGTCTGTATTTCCAACCAAAGTATTAGGTATATTTTAGTTCGT